CTCCATCCCATCCTGAGTGTGAACCAAACATCCTGAACCCCACAACCTCACAGCATACCAGGGAAAGCTTTGCAACCTAGAACAAAACAGCACAAGTGTAACATTAGAACAGCATCTGAAAGCAGCGCACTTTTCATTCATATAAGGAACAATAATCATCCCGTAGATTGGAAAAACAGTTTAGAAGTGTATAAAGCATCATGTGTCACAGTTGGTACGAGTTCTCTTGTAATTGGGTACGACTTGACATGTTCTGATGGGTACGACTTGACATGTTCTGATGGGTACGACTTGTCCAGCACCTCATCACTTTGATGAAGTACAGATGAATCATAAAACTAAAAATCGTAATAAAATTGAATAATTTCGACTGACAACTGCAGTCCTCTTCAGTTAAATTTAATAGTATTATATAATATATAATCTGGTGTAAATATAAAGATGTTCCAAACATACCAGCCCAGGATATTTAAATTACTATTACTGAATAAAAGGAAATGTCAACCCAAACACATAATGAAACATTTGAAAACGCAATACGCTGGATTGCTTCAAACACAGGTTGGATGGATGTACAGTATGAGCAATAGGGGTTGGGTGTAAATGGGTCTGCCCTGTATGGGCCATGGGCCAATAGGCTCGCTGCAGTTTCCTCCATTCTTACCATTCTTGTGTTCTTATGTTGAAGTTTTAACCAGAATGTCTTTAACTATGAGGTCTAAATCGTAATTGCCAGAATTCTAGTTGAAGTTGGGACTTATGTATATATACTGACTCAGCTAATTTGGAATTTTTTATTTAATTCTTCACATGTACTTCATCAAATATTTTTTTTACTTTGTACATTTTATTTATCATAGTGCGAATAATGTACACTCATACTTGCAAATGTTTAAGGTCGGAGCACGTATATGTAGCGTGACAATAGCGCTTGCCATTTGGGGATGAAGTGCTGTAATTCATCTTTAAATTTTTTGACCTGTTATAATTTTATATTTGAAGTTTAATAAGAACATCTATTGCAGTGTAAAAATGTATAAAAATAAGATAATAGGGCTTACATAATCTTTGACTTCTTTTACACCCATCCAGTAAAACCGCTGGGTAGTTTTTTCAGTTATGGCATTGATACCACTGTGCCCAGCAGATGGTTTAGCATTGCAGTTCAAAAGAATACTCTGCCTTTCTTATTCTGAAGTTATAATTCTCTGCCATAATCCTGAATTTAATGCTAAGTGATATACTAACCATCAATTCTGTACTGATTACTGCTCATAGTCTTCACCACTGCCTGGCCGATGGGTGTTAGTTTTTAGGTAGCACTTAACATACTTCATGTACTCAGAAAACATTTAAAAGTTCTTACTGCTTTTCCTGCCCTGTCAGAGTCACCATATCCACTTATCTATCGCCACAGCACAACTGGTCCGACTCAGGATGAGGCTGGGTCATGTCACTGTTTGTGAATGTGACGTCATCAACCACTCGTGCGCAGTGGACTTGTTAATAAACCGAATTAATTCCTTTTATATTACGATAAATTACTTATAATAGCATGAAATAAATTAAACCTAGGCGTATGATGTATAAGTAGGTTTGAAATTAAACAGAACTATTCTATACGTAGTTATTAATAATAATAATAATAATAATAATAATAATAATAATAATAATAATAATAATAATAATAATAATAATAATGATAATAATAATAATTATTATTATTATTATTATTATTATTATTATTATTATTATTATTATTAACCAAATCTCGAGAATTTTATCTTTACAATCAATATTTCAGACAATCTAAGACACTTATTCTATGACTTTTCCCGCGGAAACGACCTATATTATTATTATTATTATTATTATTGTTACTGTTATTGTTATTCTTATCCATTTAATTAAAGTAATACTCGGTTGATCTCTTTAATACTACGGCAAAACTTTAAACTCATTCAAAATCATTAAAGTCCCGCATTTAAACTCATCCAGACCTTTATTTACGTCCGTTTTCTATGTTGGTATCAAAGAAAGTGAAATATAATTATGGGATAACTTTTCTACCTTTATATTATTGTTAGATTTGTATTTATCTGTTTTCCTCTTCGCATTCAGAACAAGATTCCATGGCTGGTTTACAGAATAAGAATTTTTATTTAAAACATTTAGTTTTCTTTTACCCATCACCATTCCAGGCATAATCTTGAGCTGTTTAAAGTATTAGGTAATGAAATAATGATTAAATTTTAGTTCAGTCTTTTTATTTGAAGACTTTTACGAGACGTCGTCAGTGTAGGGTGTAAAGAATAAATGAAATATTGTTCAAATTCCTTCTTGCTGCATTTATTTTGTAGTTCCTCAAAAATACAACAAAACAAGAACAAAAGAAAATATACAGAGATCAGATATTCACAGACGTTGACTAGATTATGTTTCCTCCTCCATATTATTCATGAATTAGATGAATGATTCCAGGGATATGAGCCTCAGTGACCAGTTCGACTAGAGTAGACACACGATATTCTCACACAATGACTGAAGACATTTCGTGTACAGTTTTAAGCAAGAGATCCAGAGGTACTTAAATTGTTTGCATTGTGTTTTTATCATAAATGGTTTGTTGCTATTCTCTATAGTTGAAAATGATCATTGTGGTTATTACTATAAAAATATTGTTGATGTAACATTTTCTATATACAACATTAATCTTCTTTCAGTACAGTACAATCTTTATACGTTTGTTAGATTCATTATTTAGTTTAATCTTTACTTTGTGATGTACGTATTAAGACGTTACATTTGATCAATTCAACCAGTATAATATTTCAGTAAAGGGGAGACCACATCAAGAGGTTTTATAATTAATATGTATTTTTATGTAAATATGACCTTTAGCAATAACATAAATATTGATATGATTAATGTGGAGATAGTGTGCATCGTTAACTTACATAGTATACAGTGTTACCGTTCTTTTGTGGTGTTTTTATGTGAAGCACCAACAATGGCTTTATCATTATAGCAGTTTTTGTCTTACAGAAAATATCAGATAAAGAGTTATTATATATTTTTTTATAGAGCTAAAGATAATTAATTTATATCCAAGGTATCTACTGTCAGTTTGTATTTTATGGCATAACAATCTTACAATCAAACAATCACATCAGCTAAATTAAAACCATGTACAGTATTGTATTTAAAATTGGAAACAATATGATTTTATATAAGTTTTCCACAAATTAAACTTTAGTCACAGAAATATAAACAGATTAGTAATAATACAAGTAGTTTTAAGGAGTTACTGTACTGCTGCACCACACTAATAGATTTTCCTGATCAGAGAAACATAAAAAAAATACAGTATTTTGTGTATTCTAATAATTCGCTTATTTCCTCATGTAACTGATAATTGAAGAGGTATTTTCTGAATTTGGTATATGTAATTCTTTAATAAATTTTAGCGAATTTATTTTATCAATTTAAGATAAGTATTTCCTTAAAGAGATCAAAGGTGAAGAACACACACACACACACGTCCAGTGATACTGATGAACAACATATGTGTTATGAAGTGTTGTAATCATTGCCTATGTTACTTTCCAGTTGTTCCAAGCCTTATTGTCCCTACACATTGTTCCAAGTCGAATACAAGTGTTACCATGATAAATCCCATCGAGTTGTTCATGACTAATACTTGTGTTGCTTTATAGAATTGTTCATCACTAGTACCTATTTAACCATAATTTATTCCAGCAGTATGACCTATGATACCAATGGTTTGTTCCAAGGTTACACTAGACTTCTACCACAAACTTACTACCTGTGCATACCATTCCTTTGCTGTGTGTGTGTGTGGTTCTTCACCCGGTGAGTGAAATCTCTTGGCTATGGATATTTTCACTGTTTATCTTAATGGTGTAAAGTGATCTTCCTGTCTCAACCAACAGCTTAATGCCATAATTTTCCTTCTCAACTAAGAGTTGTGTGGTACTGTAGTGTTGAAGGGTTATTATTATGTTGTTTCTCCTGTGGACCGACTCATAAGTAAATGAAACCATTTTACTCTAGAATGAGACTGTTACCGTTGCCTTCTAAGCTGACAGTGTGGTGCCGTTACGCTCGCTAGACTACGGGACATCATCCTCATCACGGGGCGTGGTAGGCTCAGGAACCACGTCATACAATAATGGATTAAAAATTGACCAACATTAAGTTAATATAATTCTGGTATGTAATTTCTAGTGATTATATAACTGTATTGTGACTTCTAGAAAATGATGTCCTGAGTCACCTTAGTCAACGGTATTAACAAAAATAAGAGTTCTTTACATATTGCACACGTGATATGAAGATAATATAATACTGTACAGTACTGTGGTCCCTCAATGATCTTTCTTATGTTAATGTAAATTTCTGGTGAATTTTTAATGACTTTTTTTTGGGGGGAGATCTTTTGAAAAACGTATAATTTTTCGATTTCATCACAATTATTCTTATGTCTTCTTCATTCTGGGTGTGTGGCTTTCTTAACTTAACTAAATCCTGAAACAAGAGAAAAATGAGAGAACTACACATAGTTACCAACATAAATAAGAGACAATAATCCCAGACTGTATCAAGTGTCCTTCAAATAATTATCCATTGAAGTTAATACAAATATACTCTTTCACTTGATGAATAATTGAGGAGCAAAAATGAGAGAGATGATTTACTGAAGTTATTCATGACAACATGGCAAATTGAATATAAAGTTATTTGCTAATATGTCATTGAGAAAGGGAAGATATAGGGCAGAATGGGACAGTTAAGACGCCATCTAGTGGGAGAGAGAATGAAGGCCGTGTGCCATGAAGTTCAAGAATACGGATCTTTTTCACACCATGTAGACCAAGAGGAACAATGTCTGGTTGTTTAGAGTGGGAAAATAAAAGGGTTACTTTGCACAGTAGAGAGAGAGAGAGAGAGAGAGAGAAAAAAAAAAAAAAAAAAGAGAG